AAAAACTGCTTCCATACACAAGTGGCCACAGCTTTCTCTGTACAAAACAAAATAGAACACTTGCTCTTTTGCACAAACACCAAGAACAATAGAAGAAAAGAAGAAATAGCTCCGGATATGTTCTACAGGTCTAAAACATCTCTTGTCATGCATTGCTGGATTTTGGATTTATATATGCTTAGCTACAGATTCAATATTTATTATGATATACAGAAGACACCTGCATTTAAAGCTTTAGTTATATTTAATTTTTATACTTGATATATAAAATTTTGTCTGTATCAATGCAACCACAACTTGAAAAGGGAGAGATGAATCTTTCTTTGTTAAGTCTAACCATGAATTTGAATCACGCCAAGCCAGAGGTTAATTGCATGGTTAATAGCACAACTAAAAGCAGGTAAGAGAAAAAAAAAAAAAAAAGATTCCCACAGATTTATCTACCTGGTTCACAGTGTCTAATAAGTAGATGCTATATTCATTCCAGGTCAGCACCCATCCTTCTTGGAAAAAGCATGAAACAAGCCCAAGGTGCTTCTCTGGGGAACTACAACTTCCTCTGTCAGGTGGCTCCAAACGAGGATACAGTTCAAAAGTTTTAACTCCTGCAGCAAACATATCCTTGAGTATGAACGTGGCCTGAACAGTTCCATGAACATCTGACTTCCAGAGACGGAGCCCAGGTCTGGCAGCAAACAGTGTCATGTCACTCTGTTTACAAAGGCCCGGTATAAAACATGCTCCAAACTTGCCAGTGCTAGAATGTTAAAAAACAAACAAAAAAAAAGCCACAACACTCTTTAAAATGCCATATACAAAACCATAAAATTAGAAATAATTTTTAAAACCAATGATACATTTCCAACTGCAAGTTGGGGGAGGGGGGAACAAAAAAACAAGTGTATTGTTCTTAAATTGAAGTCAACTGTCTGAAGTACAAATTTGGTTAAGACAAGAACAGTACTTCCAAATAACAAGATTCTTCCCTCGGCTTTGTGTGTCAGACATTACATCTCCTAGACAAGTTAAGACACTCGTAATATGCCTTGACAGTCTTCTATATCTCCCCCAGAAATGTCCTAGAATACAGTTACCTTTCTCTGTTCTAGGAGAAAAAAAATAAGCAAAACGCTACCTCTACTTCCAGATATAGTCAGTCACCCTGTTGTTCAGTGCCCTGTTCCTTCATATCCAAGAAGGATAACACAATAAAAAAAAAAAAGTCAGAAGGTTCTACAGGTGCTCTGTGGAAGTTTTTTCAAGTCAAATTTACATGCTCGCTATATATTTTCCCTTTAATTCATCTCCAAGTAAAAGAAGAATTAAGATGTTGACCTTGTTTTTGCATTAGATACTACATCACCCATTACATTCACCTGCTTATAATGCTTGCTCATACCAAGCCACAACAAATCATGAGCAACTGCAGTAGAAGTATTAGAATTCTTTCAATTTAAACAACAGGAAAATATCTTATGAATTTTTTCATAAGTTTCCTGAAAATGCAATTGTTACATTTACAACCACGAATATCCCAAGTAGACAGAATGATCGTTTCAATGTCCAAGAACAAAAAGCTGCTGCAGTGAAATTTTATTAGCAGACTGCTGTGTATTAACTGTACTGCTTAGATAATTCTAGCTTTTGCAGTGGATTAGAGAAAGAGTTAACAGATGTGTCTGCATCAAGATTTTGAGAGGGTTACTTTTTTCTGGGCTGTGTTCCAACTTGCTTGACAGATTTCTCTTCTGTATAAAAAAGCACAGTCCGTTGTAAAGTAGAGACAAGTAGCACTTTTTGGTTGTAATCCAACTGGACAATTGAAGAAGTCTCTTCCAAAACAAGGCTGGAGTTGCAAATACCCTTCAGAGATAGAGGAAATTCACAAGTGTTAGACAGAAACACGATAAAATTAGGAGGATAGTTTGTGAAGGTTCCCCAACAGTCATCCAGCAGCATGTAGCTATATATGTATATATATATTTTTTTATATACACACACTAATAAAATTGCCCAGACAAATACATGGTTCTAAGCATTTAATTATCTGTTAAATATTTAAATACACATACATTCTTTCAGAAAAATCTTAAGCAGGAATAAAGGTCTCTAAAACAAATACTTACATGGTCTAAGTCTAAGGCAGAGTAGACAATTTTTCCTTTGTCATCTCCAGAGAATAATTTCATTCCATTAGGACTCCAAGCTAAAGCTGTAATGCTACTTTTGTGGATACCAGCAACATCAAATCTCCGAAGCTGTGAAACGGTATCAAAGTAATGCAAGAGTGAAGGGAACAGAAAACAGTCACAGAGCCCGTTACGTAACTCAGGCTGATAACATCAGAGACCAAGCCCCAAAACAAAGATTGAACACTAGGTACCTTGTCAGTTTTTACAAATCAGTAATGTATATTTGATTAAATTTAATCTTTTGTGATGAAAAACATGTTGTAAGACTAATACTTTTCTAAACCTAATATACAGAGTCTAGAGCATATGCACAAATACTTCACCAGGAAGTATTTACTATAATGAAGAATCACCTAATCATCTAGAGGGACTCACCACAGAAGTTTAACCAAACTCAAAGATTTACCTGTTTGTTTCTTCCAGGCAATGAAGACACAAGCTGAAAAACTGCAACCCGCCCCGACGCTGTGCCAACAGCAACAAGATCATCGAAACAACTCAACAGCTTTACGAAAGTAATAGATTCACACTTCCCCTGTGGGAACAGCCAATATACAAAACTTGCTAAGTTATGAAAGGCAGAAAATAGCTGTAAATAGCCACTCAATTCTGAGTGACTGAACACTGTTAAAAGTTTCATTAGAAGTTAATGTACCTCAAAATTGTATTTTTTCATCTGGTTTAAGTGCCTGCAGTAGAGATAAAGCATTCCAATGCTGCTCCCCACGGCAATGTAGTCCCCATTGGTATCGAGTGCTGTGAGGTACACCACTATCGAGCGGAAGCCTTTTTGGACCTTTGTCGGAATGGCATTGAGAAGATAATATAAGGGACAAAACTCCTTGAATGTAACTGATGAAGCCACCGATGCCATAGCAAACACTGGTATCAACACTTTTAAGGTTGTAATAAGCACATCTGTTTCACCACATAAGGAAATCTGAAAAACAAAAATCAAAATTTAACACTAACTTCTCTGAAAAGAGAAAGCAGTTAGCAGAATAGCTGTCCCTTCGCAAGTAGGTACGCAGAGACTGAGCAAGTTGGTATGCAGAGATTTTCATTCTTTAGGAAGAAAATAAGCAAGTTAAATTCTAGAAAATGTAAGTCATTCTGCAAACACGAGCACAATTATTTCTTAGACTCAGCACATCAACAGGTGGATGGTAACTACTAAACATGGGATAAGATTTTTTTTCTTGCAGTTATGAGCTTTTCCAAGTTGAGTTCAAACAGATTATTTATTATCATTTAGCTATTGAAGGAACTGCCTGCCACTAAACGATCCATGCAGCCCATTTCTTTATCTGTCTGTAAACTCTAGCCCCAAACCTTGCAGTGCTAAATCTTCAGTTTGCATCAAAAGTAGCATAAGCATGGGATATTCACAGGATAAGAGAGCAAAATGACTGAAGTGTCAAACTTTTATGCTCAAACCCTTAATTCCCACCCAGCCCCTAGGAAAATCTAAATGAAAAGCAATAGTTACTGAAGCTAGTAAGTAACCAGATAGTAAAAATAGCACGCTAAGGAGGAGAATGCAAAAATGAGGGAATTTCTACTGTGACAAAGATATTCATATAGAAATTTAGAAAGATAGTGAGCAAACAGTAAAAGAAACTGGCTTTACAAATAAAGGCACTATATGCCCATGTTTCCTGTTACAGCCAAGTGAATAACTTCACATTGATGAGTGGCACTACGCATGCATATGGGAGAAGTTTGGTATCTTTCTGAGAAAGGGGAAACAAAAGGTTGTATTTGCCCTTTTCCATAAAAATATATATGTATAGCTCAGTGTAGTAACAATGCACTGGCAACTCCATAAAAATCTGATATTTTTCTGAGGTACACAAAATATTAATTACAACCATCGATGTTTCTCAGGATGACAACTTTGACAAAAAAGTTTTGCAGCAGTTTGCAGCAGTTCTCATAGAAAGAACTGAACTGCATAGCAAGTTTGCAGCAGTTCTCAAATAATTTTAGAACATGGGAAAGAAAGGAAACCTCTATTTCTTGAATTTTATTTTACCACGAGCTGGTCCAAGTAACAGAATGCTTTAGAATCTGTGAAAAATAGCTGCAGTTTTCTGAGACAATGACTGCAGATTTCTGAAAAGAAAAAAGCTTTCTATGCTCATTTAAAAGTATAACATTGAATATTTTGTTAAGCTTCTGCAAGAGTTATAACTTAGAGAAATTTTTTTAAAAAATATCAAATTTAGTTGAGAAAATTTCTAAACATTCAGAAATACTTTGCAAAGAATCCCTACTGCAATTTGTGTGCTACACACTATTTTAGCTAGTTAGTATTTCTCCAAGGATGGAAAAGAGTGTTTGGCAGCCTCACAAATTGCTTACGGTGATATCTCACCTAAAAAGCACACATGTGTATGTGCACACACTTCTTTAATATCTCCATTACTGCAAAAAGCTTGTTTTAAAACTGTTACTTCAGTTATTGTGCAAGAGGATTCAGCATGATGGCTTTGGGCCCTGCAATACTTGCTGTCAACATATGATCCCACTAAATCCAAAGGGATTATTACTTGCATGACACTACCCATTCAGGCCCAAGTTAGACAAGACAGCAGCAATACGGGCTGGTTGCTGGACCCATATTTTAGTTGTGTCACAAAAACAACTAGGGAAGAAGCTTACAGCAGTTATTAGATTATCTTAATTGCTGCGATAAATTTTACTGCTTGCTAGAGCTTAGACATAATGAATTCTACTCTCCTCCCATGTTTACCAGCTGTCACACCACCTATTTCATAAAAATACCATTAGGGCCGGCTGATTCACATGTCGCAGCTGGTTTTGTACGAGAAGTTCCTCAAAAGGTTGTTTATGAGTTACCAAATAATCAAAGTGCTTTACCTTTCTTTTTCGATATTTACACACATCTTCTCTTTCCTATCTTACATTTTTAAGATTCCTGTCCTTTCCTTTCAGATTTAATACTTTCTATATAAGGTAAATTAAATTTAAAGTAAACAAACAAAAAACCCAAACCACTGCTAAAGTCTCGTTTGCTGTTCTAACATGCTGCTTTGCCAGTCTAACAATTTTGCTGGTTGCTGGTCTTTTCTCACTAAAATACAGTCTTTGTCCTAAGTCTCATGTGTATAAGTCTTCCTCTGTCTAGATCTCAACTGCTAACACTCCCCAGCTACCATCTCATGAATTTCACGTATTTTGTCTTTTAACCCTGCTTTGTCACTCCTAGAATTCACATCTATCATCTTCCCAAGCTGCTGTCATAGTTTGAACCAACTCCTGTGCCTTGATTGTCGAAGATTCCTCCAGTCCTCAGAATCTATTCACCATCTGCACTTCCATCATTCATTCTTACAGCTTAACTACAACTATTGAAAGCATAGTAATTTATTAAAACTATGGAATTATGGAAAAAATGGTACCCAGAAAAGGCTACTTTTCTTTCCTGTACAACAACTGGACCTGCAACCTGATTTTATTATTTATTTATTTTAAGTTTGCTCTTAACTAACATTAAGGTTTTCTTGATGATCTTGGTTTTTTTTCATGGAAAACTGAGAGGAATTACTTCTCGTCATATATTTCTTTAAATGCTGCCAGATTATGTTTCTCACTTCTCATAATTTATGTGCAATTCTACTTAGATCTTCTCTGATGGCAAAGCTTTAGAAAACTAATCTTCTTCTCTCTAATCCATTGAACCTGTACAATCAAAAACATATTCATAAATTACAATTTCTTGCTGTCCCGCAAGTCACTTTCAGTTTGAGTGATTAACAAGTTACTTTAAGTCACAAGTCACTGTAAAGTAACTTTCACTTTACAGACTAACCAAACATTTGTCCTATTTGCATGAAAACATGCAACTCAAAGCTCAAATCATCACTTACTCAAAATATTGCTAATAAAATTATTTTATCGAGCAAAATAAATGTATGAAGGACTAAAGAAGTACAGTGTGGCCTTTACATTCACAGATTCTGAACAAGAGCTATGATTTTCCTCAGCTTTTAAGTTGTGTCTTTAACATCTCCCCAATCACATTTGTATATGATATGTAGTCTCTTTTTCTTCTTCAGAAATTTCAGGATTGTGCTTTTATCTGTTTTTCCAACTTATTTAATTGAAGGCAAATAGTGGATATAATCTATCTTCTCAGACAGATTTCGGAATTGGACCTGCACATTCAGTGTGTCAGCAGTGATTATTCTGAAGGACAGAAAAGCCATATAGGGTAAATCAGATTGTGCTAATAAGATCTCCTGCAGCTGAGATCAAATACAGCAAAATATCTTATGCTACATTTAAAAAAAAAAAAAGAAAAAGGAAAAAAAACAGTCTGTCTTTTTTAACTCACGGATCACAATGAACTTTTACGCACAAAGCAAGCTTTTTTTTTTTTTTTTTTTTTTTTTAGTCTCAGAAACAGAACAGGGCTCAAGGCTGGCTACCAGACATAACTAATGTGAAAGATAATCTTGTGGTTGAACAAGTACTTGGTGGACAGAGATTCAGTTTCAGCTTATGCCACAGATTCACCATACGAGGCAGAAGTTGTCATTGGTTTTTTTCGGAGCACAACCTTCCTCTCTGTACAAGAGGCACAGCAGCTCTTTTTTATTTCTTTCATGTACCAAATTAAACTTAAGCTTCTCAGACAGCAGACGAATTTATATGCACAACCTACACTTAACACAACGGTCTCATCTCAGCTAGATCCTGTAAACTAGAAAATAAGTAGCTACATTTTCTGATACATTTCCTAATTTTAGCCACCTGACTGCCACATCTGTTAGGAGCTCTAGGCAGAGCAGCAAAGTTTTAAGCCTGTTGCCCAGCTCGGAAAGAACAGCAAAACAGTTGAGACATTCCTCCAAAGTTTTTGAAACAAATAGCAAGATACAGGAGAGAAAAAGTTAGCACCTTACTCAATTACAGGCAGGCAGAACTCTGCTTTCACAGAGGTGAAAGCAGGTAGGTGACCAGCTCGCACACACATAGACACTACCCAAATCAGCGTGCGCCTAGCTTGAGGCTGGCCATAAGTTGTTCTAGTTTTGGTGCAGGGGAAGTTTCTGTAAAAACAACAACAAAATTAGACTATGGGCTGAAAGGCTGGACAAGGAAAGATCTGGGGTCACACTCATGTGCATAAAGGAAATATGGGGGCATAAGAAACTAAACTTTGCTGGCTCTGTTAAGTGCAGAATACCGAGTTTCTCCACCAACCAACCAAGCAAACCAGAAACAAAACAAAACAAAACCCACAAGTTTGCCCTTAAGGGACATTTCTTTATTCTGGCAGGTACTTCAAAGGGCTCATGTCAACAGTGTCGGCTCCAGCCGCAGTGGCTCGGACTCTCGCCGCCCTGATGCGTTTCTGCTGCGGGAACCCCCCAGGAAGATGCTCGTTCTCCATCACTGAGGGGCTGAAAACTAAGATTTCTAGCTGGGCTCTCCGCGTTGATTCGCCTTAAATTCGCTTCCTTCCAGTTCGGCCAAGGCCCACGTCGCGGCGGCGAGAAGTTTCCCCTCAGCCCGCGCGGCCCACCCCGCTAACGGCGACCGTCACCGGCAACCGTTAACAGCACCTTCACCC